AACTTAAAACTAGAATTCAAGATCATTTAAAAGATATTAATAAGAGAAGTGAATGTCTGTCGGTAATGATCATAGACTTACTAAAAAACATGAATTTAAAACGTAAAAATCTTAGATAATGAATTATCATATATGAAGAGAGAGAGAGAGAGAGAGAGAGAGAGAGAGAGAGAGAGAGAAAGCAATATCTGAAATATTATATATAAAAAAAGACGGATTAAATATTAAGTGCGCAACTAAGTTCTCGCTGTTATTTTGATGGAGATATTTCCTGGATAAGATTATTCGCAACTTATCTGGAAGTGAACAAATTGAGCATTAATTTTATCGTTATTATGACTTGATAACAAAAGACAAGCTATTAGAATACAACGCTAAATTGTTAAAGCTGATCAAATCAAGGATTGGAGTAACCTATTAATATTTATTAATATATAATGTAATTTCTAATATTAATCAACACGTTATGACAGTATTTATAAAGATGTAATCAGCACATTAATATTTCCATTTGATACAATAATTGGGGAGCCATACATCCTTGAATTGGACAGTTTGAAAGAATTCCAAAAGACTGTTTGATATCAAAATAAAGATATTGAGCAATGTATACACTTGAAGATAATTTATTCCCTCAGATTTATTTTATCATTAGTTTTTTATCATTTATTTAAGAAAGACTTCGGAAATAATTAATAAAATGGATTAGAATAAGATCTGAAAATGACCAAGTTAAAAAGGTCTAAACATAAGTATTAATATTAATAAATTATTGTTATATTTGATATAAAGTTTCGCAAATAACATCCAGCGCGGCTCGAATAGACTGATAATTCACAATTACTGAATTAATATTCTTTAGAGCCTTATTAGTATTATAGTTGAAAATAAAAGTAATTAAGAATTATCGTACGACATATATAATTATTTATATATTCAACATAAATACTTCTTTGAAACAGTCCTATATTCATTGTCAGAGAAAATTGTGGTAACAACTATAAAGGCTGTATAAATTTTTATGTAGAATTAGTGCACATAATTGAATAAACCATTTTATAATATCTACAAAATAGTTTATTTAACTATGAGTATTAATTTTACATATAATACTATATATAATTATCACTTTGGTTATATCCACTATGTCTTTTTCTCTCTGAATGTACGTATTATTTTACGTAAGATAATTTACTTTTTTTATCCACATTTTTGTTTAATAATAATTGTAAAGCTTTTAAAAGTATATTTTATAAAGGAATGTTTCAGAAATGTAATAAATCATGAAAAGAAAGTTAACTTTCTTTTGCTATTAAAATTTCTAAATAGTATAAAACAAAAGATAATAATGCTTTTGGGGCTTTCATGAGTATTTCCTTCAAAAATATCAGAATATTTGTTTGTTATCATCCATTGCTAATGGTGTATCTTTATCCATTGCTAATGACATTAGAAAAAAATAAAAAATAAAATGTTAACTGTTGACTATATTAGGATCTACGCATGTTTTACGTCACTCGTGACATAAATGAAAAATTTAATTCTTTTCTATTTTTGTTGGATGTAGTACCGCAGACGAAGATAGATTGGACGGTGGAAGCGATTACAACGGAAGTACGGATCGCTCAAGTACTTCTCCGTTGCACGATCCGAGTATTCATAACGAGGGCAGATTGGACAGGCGAAAGGGCGATCATGGGGATGAGAATCTGCCCTTATCGAGCGAGGACATGCCTGATCACTATATCTACGTCTCGTACCCGCCCGAGCTAAAGCGGCGACTTCTGGAGAGGTATATCGACTCGCGCGAAAGTGTAGCCATGAAATATATCCTACGTTAATTATATACAGTGATCCTCCTGCTTACAGCTGCTACAATAGGACCACACGTCTGTAAATTAAGAAGGAAGTGCATACACGACGAAATTAAAATTTTATTCGGGATCTGCACAAGGAAAGGTATTCGAGGCTGAACTCCTCACTCTCATTTTTCTCGTTATCCTCGTGTTTTGTATACCGAATGTGAATAAATGCATCATGGACACGACATCAACTGCTCGTTCCATTTCTCTTTATTATCTTATCTTCTGAAAATGCTGAATCATCGTACGAAAATAAACTAAGATATAGGTATGTGTCCAATATATATAATTATGATAATTATAATTTGTATTAGATTGACGAGAAAAATTCAATTAAGAGAAATAATGCTATTTTTTATGACAAAGCGGATCTTGGTGCTTAATTTTAGTGTGAGTTTATATAAATATCCAATTTTGCAAATCGCGCGCCGAAATATTTTTCAGTTTTGAAATGCAATTATGAACAAAACTACAGTAAAAATATCATGTTGACAAATAATTTAACAATAATATTTTTTATGGTTCTTTTTATAAAAATATCAATAATTTAATATTTGTAAGAAAACTGCGAATAATTTATCGCGAAAATTAATATTATTCAAGAGAACGAGATTCGAATCTCTATATTATGATAATGATTCGGATTTCTATATTATGATAATTGGACTTTCATTCCTTGATTGTGATAATTAAACATTTTTTTCGATATAATTTGGCAGATTTTATTATATTTTATTATATTTTATTATATTTTTATGTCGAAAATAGAGCTGATTAAAATAATATTGTGGTGAATTATATATATATATATATATATATATATATATATATATATATATATATATATATATATATATATAATTCACCACAATATAATTTGTGCTTTTTTATTAAAATAGCATTTATTCGAGAATAAATTATTTATTTATAAACATAATATAAACTATAATATTTTTATATATATAAGTATATATGTCTCAAATAATTTATGAATCAACGACAAAGAGGTAGAATATAATTGTTTAATCAAAATTATTAAAAAATACTTAATTCAATTACAGAAAAAATTGGAAAAAGTTCCACTTTATTTCTAGAAGAATATTTGTTCAAAGAGTTTTAACTAGAATTAAAACCAATAAGTCATCTTCATAGTTCCGTCAGAATCGCGTTGAGTATCCATCACGCTGGATTGGCGAACCAAACGGCGAATACTTGTCGTGCTCGGCCGTTGATGTTCTTCCAAAATGGATGAAGTAAACAATACTTTGGGTACTTCCTGCATCTCTACTGTCTCTCGCATCGACAAATCTTCATAAGAAGCCGCGATTGATGGTCTAAAGAATACAAATTTTAATAAATCAGAAGTCTACAATTTCAGAAGAAAAAATAGAGAAATTATATCAAGAATGTACAGAAGATGTCATCAAAATATAACTTCTAAATTATTCATTTAGTTTTCTACAAATTAATATAATTATTACCATATATTATTTCGATTTAATTGATATTTTAAAAGAGGAAATTTGTGTTAAATTAAAATAGCTTTCTATCTGAATAAAATATAATAAGTGACAATTAATAGAAGTACATACTTTGCTGGAACACAACGGATACAATCCGCGCATGTCCAATCTTTGCCAAATAATTCTCCTTCTTCAACCGTTTGTGGTAGACGGTAATGTAATGTTTCCGGTAATCGCAATCCGAATAAGCCACCAATTACCGAGATTGTTCCCAATATGACTAAAGGCAACACAAGATTTTCTTTCCCCTGCGAATGTTCGCAAATATTTGGTATATTATAAAAATATAGTTTGTAACCAAAGATAAATGTCTATATTATCTTTGATATTTAATAAGATAATAAATTAAATTTATTAAACAATACATTATAAATTTGAAAAACTAATAGTAAATTTTATAAAAGTATATTTTGTGGAAAATAATAATAAGAAAAGTATTATTGAAATAAAATTCAAATATCAATTCCAACGCACAAGATATGTTACGAAAGGTATAATGATGAGTCCAAGGCCGCTGATATATGCGGAGAAGCCAATGGCAACTCCTCGTAGCTGCGTGGGATAGAGTTCTCCCGCGAAAGGATAAATAATTAAAAATGACGCCGATATCGCAGATTTTGAAATGAGAAATAGTATTAAAGTCTCCATAACAGCATCTTGAATAAAAAGATAATTATGAAACTGATGTCTTTTTTTTTAGTATTTCAATTTCAATTAATAAACTTATTGTCTCAGTGATATTGCAATTAATTGATTATATCGCCACTCTTGCTAAATTAATCAAGTCATTAATTAATTAATTAACAGTGCGTACCGGACGATAACAGCACCGTTGCAATGCACGACACTCCAGCTACGACCATGCACAAACAAAGCGGCCATCGACGGCCCCATCGATCCATTACAACCCAACAAACGATGTAACTGGGAATCTCGGCAAGGGAAGAAAACAGAAAACTCAAATGTTCTTCATTTCCCAAAGCTGGGCCGTAATAAGAAAGACCAACATACACCATATTATTGGCGAACCTAATCGCAATAAAAATTCATTCATTCCCGTACCATACAAAATGTTTATAAATTATCATATCGTGTAATCTCTATATTTAAGATATTTTCTAGAGACAAGTCTAATTAGAAGCAAATTATCACATTCAATTTATAATCAATTTGAATTATTACTTTTTTATTGATTACAAAGATCAAAATTTGCAATGTGTAATTATGTGAGATATAAAAATTGCAGAAAAATCGTATGACAAACAGATATATTCTTTTCTTTCTAAAAATTTAGAACAATTATCCGAAATAAATCTAATATAGTAACCAAAGTTCAGAAGAAAACGTTGCAGAAACTCCACGAGTAAAAAGCAGGGATCATTGATACATGAATTTATTATGCTTCTGATGACTGTAAAATGATTAATTACGTTTGTGTATGTATTTCAACTTACCAATTTAAAGTAATAAGACACGTTTTGAGACGCATATTTGGCAATTTAAAAAGCGAGAGCACACCAGGACCAGTTCGCAATCTCTCCTCCTCGCTGTTCGACCTTGACATTGTCATACGCTGACGGAGTTTTTGCGTAAACGATGTCGGAAGTTCTTTGCCATTTACACGGGCCAAAATCTCAAGAATATCATTAGCCTCGCTTAGACGACCTTTCGCTAATAACCATCGCGGCGATTCCGGTAAGAACCTACATAATGATCTCTAATATTTCTCTCTAATCTTTTTAAATATAAATATTTACATGTATTTACTTTATAAAAAGCAAACTGTTAATTTTAACTTAAAGATGTATAGTGGATTTTCTAAGTATGCAAAAATGTCAATTTTAACATTTTTACATATCTCAGAAAATCCACTATACGTTATTTTTAAGTCCATTATACTATTTCTTTAAGTTAAAATTAACATTTTATTTTTTACAGTGTATGTACAATGCTCCAGATAGCAGACAATATTTATAAAATATTTACGAAAGATTTTTGTAAATATTTCTCACCACCAATAAAAGAAGTATATCAAAAAAGGCACGCTTGTGGTCATAGCGAGTGTTCGCCAATCGCGTATTAAATAAGTGACACCTGCCAGCATGCAAAGACCCAAAGTATAGAAAGTACAAGTCATAACTGTTACGAATGAACGGTAATTTGGGCCGACCAACTCCAAAGCTACAAAAATAAATTTATAATAAAATCTAAACTCAACTACAAGTGTTGACACAGAACTGAGATAAGATATCTTAATATAATAAATTAATTTCAGGATAACTAATTGATTGTAACATTTAAATGCTTACATATAATAAAAGGTATCTGGTAAATCGCTGGTATTGTCAAACCAACGACAAAGCGTGTAGAAACCCAAGTCCAAAAATTACTTGAAATTGCTGTTAGAAAGCCGCCAATTATTAATATCGCCAAACACGTAAAGAATGATAACCTCCGACCAATTCTATCCAACAAGATAAACAGATTGCTATTTATTACGTATAAAGAAAGATTTTATTGCTTATTTTACTTAACAAAATAAAATTCTACACAGTACGATACGAAATACAATAAAGTATAAGATAAGCAAAAATGTAGTAAAACAAAGGAAAATTTTTGAATAAATTGTAATAAATTTTTACACGTATTTGTCCACAAAAGATAATACGTATTTGTCTAGAAAAGATAATATGTAATTTCTTTTTAATTAATTATAATAAATTCTAGAAAAAAGTGAAATTCTAGAAAAAAAATCTCCTGAATTATCGTTTACCTGTCATTTAATGTACCGAACAGATACACTCCTATAGGGCCTCCTGCATTAAGAACTACTAAACCAATTGTTGGATAGATCGCACGATCGCACACGAGATCAAACTATAACATGATTTTCTAATGAAATAAAAATATAGCTAAAATATTTTGCTTCTTTTGTTAAAAAAAAAATTTATTCTTTAATTTTTAAATTTCTTCGAATGAAATATATTCGTACGTATATTCGTAAAGAATCGTACATTCATAATTAAATTTTCTATCAGAAACGAATAAAATTGTGTACCAAAAGTCTAAAGTTTTGAAACTTAGTTCACTTCTAAAAATTCAATGTACTAATAAATGAATTAATTCATAAATTAATTTCGTTGCAGATTCGCTGCAATGTAAGACGATAAAGCTATACTAATGATTTTTTCTGTACAATTAGACAAACATACATCAATGACGATGGACGATGTTATCTCCGAAGTTTCATATTCCCAGCCATGATCGCAGGGCATGACAGACCACGACGCGTTAGGCAAGTATGTCGCCACGACAGAGTAATTCATCGTCGTCCAGTCGATATCATATCTCATGCACTGGCTATACGTCTCATTGTCGTCCTGCTTTTACATAACATCTTTTAACATCTAACTATGCGATATCACATGAATAATGCATTTGCTACGAACTGTAAGACAGAATCGATCCTACCGAGCTATCCAATCGAAATAAATAGCAGTCTCACCTCCAGGACTAACGCATTTCTATTTTGGGTTGCTACGAAATCTCATATATATATATATGTACAAACATTGTGCTTACAAGAATTGACTTTTCCAACTGCTCTTGGTGCAATCAAGAGATGCGGTCTACACTTACACGCTGTAAGCATCAATTTATCCTTGTCTGTCAAATATTAAAATGATTGAAGACAAATGATGTTTTCAAGCACTGTAAGCACAAAATGAAATACACCCAAAGTAAAAGCGAACTATAAATCCAAAATTAGCTTGCTTCGTTTGCAAAATACCAATTGCTAAGTACCAATTAAACAAAATTCAATTTGCAAAATTTATGTACATTGCGATTAATTAATGAATTATACGTGTGTACAGAGAAAAAGACAAGTCATGAGGAGAATGCAACATTAAAAGATAAGAAAATGTGTTTGAATACACGGAATAATAACTAGCGTTATCATATCTAGCGCTAAATAAGAAGATACGGCACGATGTAATGAGCAACAGATAAACAAGAAATACATGAACATGTAATGAGCGTCTTTATCGACCTACAAGAGCAATGCGCATAAGCATCAACCTTGAAATCGTGTTCTTCTTTTACACCACAGCGCACCTGACTCGCAGGAATGGCGAGGCGTTTTCTGCGAACAATGTCCATGTTTTCCAAACCTGGCACCTTGCACCAATGCAACGGTGTGTCTGCCATGAATAATTGATTAAAAGCGCAAAAACCGCACGGCAAACACGCCGGCAAACAGACCAACCATAACAACTGCTTCTGATAACGACCAAACTCGCCAATAATCGGCAGAAGATCGTCGAGATCGAAGTCATCCTATGAAACATTTATGCAAAATTATTCGCAATCAAATAGCACTTCTAATTATAGAATTCTAATTATACATCTTATCGTTATTGCTTTTTATTATCTGTTATAGATTTCCTGAGCAGAATTGGCAACATTTTTAATATTAAAAGAAAAGTATAAGAAAAATTTTAAGAAAAGACAAAATACACATTTTTTCTATCCGAACTGATATAGAATCACATATATCTTTAAAAAAAATCATATGAATTAGTTGTGTCTTTTATCTCATTAAGACATAATCGTATCAAGATTTCTTCAGAAATTTGTGATTCAAATTGCAGTAATTAAAGAATAATAATAATTGTATCTCCCCCCCCCTCATTCTCTCTCTCTCTTTCTCTCTTGCTGGAATTGTTCTCCTTAGCTAGATTTGTTTTCAAAATTCCAAAATTACTTTACTAAGCCTTGTTTCATAAAACATTTTAATCATGTTTTAATGAGATTTCAAAAACATATCAATAAGTTTATACTAGTTATCATACATATATTAGTTATCAATAAGTTTATACGTTAACATTTCGATAACGAATAAAAAGTTAAACTTAGCGCTATTTTCAATATCAAATTTCGCTTTCGCATAATCGAAATAAGAGATAAAAGAATATCGTTCAAAGAAGCAGATAAATAATACTTACATCAGCTTTCGCGACTCCGGCATTATCGGTCCGCGTCGAGTCACCACCGTCTTGTCGCTCCATTTCGGTAAACTTCGACCTCGTCCTACGTTATCGAAAGCCTCGATGATACCTTACAAAGGCGTCACGTGATGTGCATTAGCCTCCATCCGTGGATGATTTGACCAATGCGAAGCGCGTTGCATCGTTTCTTGCCCTTCTCCCTCCGCAATAAAAGCAATAAGAGTGACTTCTCTTTCTTGTGGATTCACAAAAGTGCACCATGCACCTCAATGATTTCAGCACTGACGGCGATTCGCCGAGCTGCGACTTCTATTAACAGGACACGGATCCAAAATACAAGAACACCAGTGAGTTCGAGTATTCTTCAGTTGCTGAGTTTATATAATATTTAATTTTTAATAATTTCGAAATTATTTATCGATATATCTATAAATAGATTCTTAATCCGTTTTCCAGTTTTCACGTTTAATATTCAAAAGATACGAAAAATGTATGACCTGGTTTAATTTTTAAAAAATTTTTAAAAATTTACGGTAAAAAAAAGATATAATTAATTCTTCACAATCTGGATTCACACAATAGATCAGATGACGAATGATTGGCGAGAACTGTAAAACACAACAAACGTCGATTGTGCTTCTTTTGTATAACGCAATCGATGCACCCCAGATATATTAAGTTGCATAAACTCCTCCAATTAAAAAAACGCGAATTTATAACTTATTGTAAATAATAACACTGATATCTTGATCAGCTGTACGCGCACGTTTGCATTGTTCCAAAGAACGTATCGGAAATACAACGAACGGGCGAGGTGATCTGTGACGCGGGGTGTGCTCTTTAAATTAGATTAAAGGTATTTAGAAAAGATTAAGAGTAACGCTGACACGCACATGCTGTTACGAACGCATGATGCCAGCTGATCGCCTTTTCATCCCCATTCCATCTGGATAGATGGGATTTTCGTTTCAAAGTTCCATCATGACATAAATTTTTAATTTCATTAAAAAAAAATCCTTAGATTATTTAATACTGAATTCTCTCTAGCGAGCGTAACAACATAAATAATCTGAGGCGATACTTACGGGACCTATTATAAAAATAGTGATATAAAATAAAAAATAAAATGTTAATTTCTCCAAAAATACTGTCGCGAAGAAAAAGTGAAAAATACGCGCTAGGTGTAAAACTGAGATGTTCGAGAAAGGGCAGTGACACATTTAGCTGTGTTCGATGTATTTGATCGGCGACTGTATAAGTAATAATGCGTATCATCGCGTGTAAGTAGATTTCAAATGGAATTTATTTTCGGGCCATCATGTTTTTCGTGAGAGAAAAGAAAACTATGAAATAAAAATAGGAAGCAATTCGCAATTTCTGCCGATTAAATCTCGTTTCGTGATTTCTCGATATTCACACTCCCGAATCGCGAGCGCTTCTCCCGCGTTTCGAAGCTCGCTCGTGTTTACGAAGAAAGACAAATTAAATCGGTGAAGAAACAGCAGTCGAAATGACTCGATATTATATGGCACTGTCGCTTGGCGATTCGTATAATCTTGTCTCTTGCACTCAACGGTACAGTCAGCCACATTAATGTCTTAAGTGATATGCAAATCGAATTGTTCCTGTGCGATGCAAACGTGGATGATGCATCCCCGTGCATCGAGGACGTGCGAACGCCGAAAAGAACGTCTTCGCGTCTTTACGCGAAGAGTTACAATAGTTGCGCTTGCGATATTTCTCCATGTGTCTTGTAAGGGCCTTGTGAAGCCTGCTAATCGAACGATCATTAATGTGACCAATTATACGCTAGACACACTTTCCGAAGAATCGTCCCCCAATCATTCCACGATCGCTCTGGCACTCACGTAAGCGATGTAGCCGAAGTCACATTGTCGTTGTCAATTATAAATCACCACAGGAAACACAATCCTCGCAAGCACCACACGACTGATTCGAACCGAATAGGAATAAAACGATAACGCGATGCATTCAGTTCTTGCACCGCGTTGATATGCCGCACCCTCTCCC